CGCCATAAGCTGGAGATTAGAAAAACTAAGAATAAGTGTCACACACACGATTGTATGGGACAGCCTAGACAGAATGAAAGACTCTTGATTTCCTACATAAAGAGTGGAATACTACGAAACTAAATACTTGTTGTAATACTGCTGCCTGCCAGGCAGCAGTATAGCAATGGCTGTTGCCTTGAATGAGCGACTTGACCTTGACAATAAGCCTCAACGCTTTGACAAACCACTGGGATGGCGTTCACAGGTTCTCACTATTCAAGCTGAGTCGATAATTTCACTCAGCACTGGGCTGAAACTTCCCGGTAACACTACCATTGTTAGGCTACAGCCTACAATAAAGTTAAACCCTGTTAGCGGCTTGGTCTGTATTGTTCTGGGTCCACAGCGTCGGGCATGGCGATCGTGCTGCAGACTTGTCTGCAACCATCTTTTTAATACCAAAATATTTTTCCTTTCGTCCGAATCTAACTTTCGGCTAAGTTTAGTCATGATAGCAGACGCTATGACATCCAGCAATTACTCCAAGCTCTGCGACTTCAGTCTACAGAGGCTTATCCGACACTATCAACAGAGGCGGTTTTATCCGACATAAAGATGGATAGCTCAGCAATCAAAGTGGGTCATGTGTATGGTGTTGTACGGCTTAAAGTTCAATATGATTCTAATTGTGTCAGTCTGGGACCGAGCTGGAACCAGGTGACACTCTGGAAATGTTCCACACCCGATTGCATACTAATGCAGTACTCACGCCGTGATGCATACATAGGAGTTGCCACTTGATAAAGGCTTGGCGGCTGCGTTGTCTGCGGCATACATAGGAACGTATGTTTATGTAGCGCCAAGAGTGGATTGACTCAGTTAGACGAAAATTCATTTTGCCTTTTATGCCCTTATAACCACATGTGATACTTGGACTATTATGCGTCATGCACACCGGTCATCAATGCTGGGCTCTGGGCTGTGTGCATACGAAGCTTCTCCCATCATGCAAGAGGATAAATACCGTAAGGGGCCCCGCTAATCTCATCAATAGTCAAATACAGCCCGAGCTGTTCTGTCCATTCATCCCGTTTATTAGCAACCCATCCATACCGTCTTTACAACATGGCACCAAAGGCTGCTATTACACTAGCCATCGCGTTTTCTGCCATTTTGACATCGGCAGCAACTATTGATAAGAGAATTATCCAAGGAGAAGATGCCAAAGATGGTGAAATAAAATTCATCGTCAGTCTTCGCGATGAGAATAGGACTCATCAATGCGGAGGTAGTCTGTTAGACGGCCATACCGTTCTTACCGCTGCTCATTGCGTAGAAGACGCAGAACTGGTCTCTGTGACGGCTGGAACAGTGGTAAATGTACTAACTTCACCCTTCGGTCTACCGAGTGGCATAAAGTTAATAATTGTGGCAGGACGTCAAGACGGCTGGAGTAGAAGCAAAAATCGCGTCTTTCAAGAAGCACCCTGATTTCATGGTACCTGAAGTTCTGTACCCTCAAGACCCTTGGTATGAACATGATATTGCTATCGTGAAATTATCAACTCCGATTAATGAGAGCAACACCATTGAGTATGCGTCGCTGCCTCCAACCGGCTCGGATGCCATGGTCAATTCCACTGCGATGGCTGCAGGCTGGTAAGTGCCACGTACATATGTAGTCGGAACGACGCTGACTTGCAGGACAGGGGCCGACAAACCCCATTTTCTGTAGCCAACAACCCAAACCTAACACACACAGCAGCTAAAATACTTGGCAAGGTTGTTCTTCTTATTCACGCACGCGAGGACTGTGCCAAGTACGAGGGGGTAGGTGATAGAGATACCATAATATGCGCTGGTGGAGAAGGCGAGAATACATGCAAGGGGGATAGTGGTGGCCCTCTTTTTGACCCGAAAACAGGACAGTTACTCGGCGTCACGTCGTTGGGCACAAAGATAAATGGGGAGCAGTGCAATCGGGCCCCCAGCCTGTTTACCAGAATCGGCAGCTACATCGACTTCATCAACAAAAATCTTGGGTCTGATTCCGGTTCTGTTCCTGAATACCAACCAGTCGATCTTCAGAAGCCGGAGAAGCTACATGACAAGCTAAGTGCCCTATTCGAGTGTGTTTCCAGAAAAGTCGACCCGAAAGACACAGACAATACAGCCCGCGAAAAGGCCTGGAAAGAGTGTGTGAAGCAACAGAGAATCCAGAATCTCTAGAATAGGTTTCTAGTCCAACTAGTCAACAGACTAACCAATGAGAAGGGTTTCGGCGTTTCTGCGCGGGCTTCACAAAAGCCCCAAATGCGCTAATATTAGTGTCACGTTATGAGACTCATTGTTAGCTAAGCTCACAAACTATCAGTGATGCATTCAATACTCAATACTCAATATGACCCCGTATTGAAAAAGTTCAATATTGAAGAAGTCCGTATTGAGTATTGAATATTGAATATTGAGTATTGAATTATTGAGAAAATATTGAGGATATTGAGGATATTGAGAAAACCTGGATTACTAAGCCCAAAATTCTCGATTTCCATGACTACCCGACGGGTCGAGTAGCAGGAGTCCAAGGTCCTGAGCTGCACAATTCGCCTTTTACTGCCACATCTGTGTAAGGGAACGGCCCCAC